ACACGTTCTAGATACATAAAATAATAATAGCAAGATCATGGTTTTTATATGTACGCTAACTACAAAATAGTAAACATTTTTGTTAAAAAAAAAATGATACGATCTTTTATTTGATGATCTATATTTCAAAAAATTACTAGTTTTACAAATTTTGCTAATTTATTCGATCACTAAGATAATTTTAAAGATATATCTTTTTAATTTCCTATCTGTATACTCTCTTTCTTAAGAAGAAACATTCAAATTTTTTTTTAGTTTATTATAATTTGGTTTTTAATTTTATATTGTAAATTTTTTTTAGAGCCGAACCACCCCTTTTTAAGAGTCTGGGCAAATTTATTAAAAAATTGATATATCAAGTGTCGCCAGCCAACGTGGAGCATTATTTTTAGAGGGAGATCAAAATTTTGGATATTTGCAATTTTGGAATTTGGAAGGAAATTGGTAAGATTGTTTAATTTTTTCTATTTGAATTGTTGATTTTGGAATTATTTTTTTATAAAGAGAGGGTGAAGATATTGCATGTGTGTGATGTTTGTATGGTTTAGGAGATAAGAGGAGGAATACATTTACAGGATATAAAGTGTAGGAGATATGGGTGGAATTTAATTAGGGGGAAAGTAACATTAAAAAACCAAGGGTAATGTGAAATATAAAGTATTAAAAGTGGTGAAAGTTTAAAAGTGATATATTAGATAAAAGTGATATATTAAAGTTATATATAAGATAAAGTGATATATTAGATGGACTTGCGAGGAGGAAAGAAGGTTGGTTTGATTGAAGAACAAGAGAGAGATGATGAAAACATAGGACAAGGAGATATGGAACAGCAAAATATAGAAGATACAAGTTTTGAAGAAGAATATAGAGGAACAGGGCAAAATCAGGACAATACAGTGACATTAGAAAAGAATATTGTCGAGACGCAAGAAAGGAAAGAAGGAATGAATTTGGAAGATTTTATGCAAATGCTAATTGGAAAAATGGATGAAAACAGCAAGAAAATGGATGAAAACAGCAAGAAAATGGATGAAAACAGCAAGAAAATGGATGAAAACAATAAAGATATAAGCAGGAAAATGGATAAATTAGAGGAAAATAGTAAGAAAATGGATAGAAAAATTGATAAATTAGAGGAAAATAGTAATAAAATGGAAAAAAATGGATAAATTAGAGGAAAATAGTAAGGAAATGGATGAAAATAGGAAACAAGATAAAGAAGAAATAATGAAGTTTGAGGATTTAAAAAAGTACACTGATAAAAAAATAGAAGAAAATAAGAAGAATATAAGAATAGAAATGATAGGAAGAATAGATGAAGTAGAAAAGGAACAAGAAAAGAAATATAAAATAATGACAGAAAAGGAGAAGATTTAAAAAAGAGATATACAGAGAAAAATTAGAATGTTTCTTCTTAGGGGACCTGCTTTTCCTACTTCCACTGCTTCTCCTGTTTCTCCTACTCCTGCTCGTTCTCTGTACTCCAACCTGCTACTTCTGTTATTTGCTACACTTTCCTCTTATATTAAAATTAAAACTTCTCACTACCTTTCTTTTATGTTTAACTCATTGTCTCCTCTGCTCACTGTACTTTTTTGGACTGCTGGTTTCCTCTGTCTGCCTCGATTCCTCTCACTGCTCTATCTGTTTTCTAAATTTTGCAATAAAATCTCTTTTTTACCTTTTTATATATTCTGGTTTATTTTATCTTTTTCAAAACAAATTCAACATATTATCTTTCCAAAAAAGCTTTTTGACAATCTCCCATTTTTATTGACAATCTTCCAAAATCAACAAAAACCCCGACATTTTGATTTTCACTTTAATTTTGATTTATACATTTATACAGATAAGGAAAGTATAGAAATCATGATTTTTTTTACGTTTTGGGGTCCCCTGAATCCGTTTTGACTATTTTCACGATGCTGTCTCTGTGTGTCTGTGTGGGTGTGTGTGTGGGCGTGCGTTCGTGCATGCGTGCGTGCGTGCATGCGTGCGTGAATGCGCGCGCGCGCGCGTGTGTGTGTGTGTGTATGTGTGTGTGGGTGCGTGCGTGCGTGCGTGTGTGTGTGTGTCTGTATCCTCGATAACTCATGAATGGATACAAAAAAAAAACACCAAATTTTAAAATTAAGCTCTATTTCGGCCTTCAGTGAATTGATAAAATTTTGGGACAAAATTTTCCTAAAATGGTCCGTATTCGAGAAATTTGACAAAATGTAAAAAAAAATTATTTTTTATAAAAATTGTTCAAATAAAAGTTGTTTATAATATAATTCTCTATAAGTTTTATCCCATACATAATTTTGCTAAACTGGGCCGTATTTGAGTTACTTGACAAAATGTACAAATTTCGAATTTTAAAGAAAACTCAAAAACGGATATAGGAAAAAACATTAAATTTTAAACTTAAGTTTTATTTCGGCCTGAGGTGAAATGATTAGATTTTGGACAAAGTCGGAACATCTGGAGGGTACTTTATGGGAAGCCATTTTTATACTTTATGGAATATATCTGTTATTTACGTATGGAAAAGAAAATTTTTCAAATAAAAGTTACTTATAATATTATTATCTATAATTTTTGCTCCATGCCAAATTTTCCTGAAATGGTCCGTATTCTAGAAATTTGACAAAAAGTGCAAAATTCTGATTTTTAAGAAAATTGTTAAACTAAAAGTTGTTTGCGATATCGATCTCTATAATTTTTGTTAATGATTTTTGTAAAATAGACCGTAATGAAAAAATTGGAGAAGAGGTGCTAAATTTTAATTTTTCAGTATTTTCGTTTTCAATAAATATCTATAGAAAATGTTTCGTGTTAGATGTGGAAAATGTATATATTTAGTTTATCCTCAAAACATTTATGTACAAAATAACCGGAAAAAGCCTATATATAATAACTAGATAGGAAAGTAATGTGTTGGACACATCAGATTTTTTACACTTGCTAATGATCTGTCATGTCTTGTCATGTCATCTGGTTCTTCAGATAAATTAAGTGATACTAATGATTTTTAAGGCCAATAAAAATTAAGCATATTAAATGAAAATTTGATCAAGGTTAGATCATTATTACTATTTTATCTCATTTCATGTATTACAAAAACTTAAGAAATATATGAATTTTCGAATACAGTTAGCTAAATTTTGCAAAACACTTTGATGAAACGCACATCCATTTTTTATACAGTAAGTTAGCAATAATTGTAATAAATATAATTCTATAGGCTATTTGATTTATTCATTCTATTTTGCCGAGGCGCTTTGGGGCGATTTACAGATGTCGTTTTAATCTAAATTAAATTACTGCTGATACGGCGAGCATCAAGTCCTACAACGAGGCACCTAAATTAATTAAAAATTCACATGGTTTGGTATGGGATCTGAAGCAGTGTCGCTAAACCACTAAAACGTCCGTAAATTAATACATTTGACATATCGGGCTACCTAATGTCAAATCATTATCCGCTTGTACCAAATGGCTTATAAAAGTTCACTTAACATAATATCACATATATCTTTTCGACTAAAAAATAATAGGTAAATAAAATACGCAACAACGATTACAAACGTTATGTGTAGTTCCAAAAATAAGCGGGAAAACACATGAATGAAATTTCATTCAGAAATAAATCTTACGCATTGAAAGTTTTAATGTAGTATTTTAATTGATTTAAAATAATAATAATTAATAAAATGGTTGAGATTAATATTATTTCTAATTCTTTTATATAACTGACTTTCTTTGATTTCTTTTAAAAAAAAAAGAAGAAGTTTGTTTTTATTTTTCACATCATAAATTTAAGCTATTAGACCATTTAAATGTTTTATTTTAAACAGAAATTAATACAGAATAAATATTTAAAATTAAAAAAATATTTTCTTCGAGCAAATTAAATTATTTACCTAACGTTGATTAATAAAAGATAAAATTAATTTTATATAAATAAAATTTTCCTCGTTAGCACAGCACTACATATGTTTCGGAAAACTTTGTTTCCATCTTCGGGTGCAGTCAAAATTTAAAAACATTAAAAAACACATGAGAACGATTACAAACATATGTAGTGCTGTGCTAACGATATAAAATAAAATTAATGACCGAATACCAAGGAAAGTTTTATTTATATAAAATTCTGCTACGGTCAGGAAATTATCCTTATTCATATAAAATTAATTGTCATGAATAAGTTTTAGAAAACACTGAATCCAAGAAAAATTTAAATTATTAACCATGTAAGATCGGTAAATATCTAGTTTGGGCTCTTTTCGATTACGGAAAAACTAATCATGGGTACTTGTAGGTATTGCTACTGTGAACAAAAAACCTAAGTTCCATATCTTCGGCAAATATTTAAAAAAAATATATATGCCAGTTTTTCCATTAATGTTATCAATTTTAAAGGAAAGGGCGCGAATAGGGGTTCTCAGTGGAAAAAACAACTTCAATAGTTATATTATAAAATATTGTTAGGACCAAATGATTAAAAATGAATTGCTGTACTTGTGATACTAAATAATTAAATAATAAACCTTTTGTGCGACTTGACAAAAGTGTAAGACGTAAAATTAGCATCTCTGAGCTTTGATTTGAGACAATTTGTAAAATATTTTTAATAAAAAAAAAGGAATTGTACCGTTATTATTATTATTTGCACAATATGTGCAATTAATCTTAGTTTTTAATGAGCGAAAAGAGTTCAAACTAGACAATGACCGTAAGATCAAATTTACGACTCTTAAATATTAAATATTACAAACTTAAATGACAAATTACTAATGATAAAATTATTCTTTGTATGAATAAACCGAATTAAAACAATTTAAAGTTGTTAAATTACTTTATCCATAAAATATGTAATAAAATCGATTAAATAACAAAGTGACTTACTCTTTTGAAAATCCTAAAAACATTTTATTATTTTACATGCACGCATACCGAACGAAATATTAATTCGAAAATAAATTCATTTTTAAAAATATATAAAAATAACGCACCTGTATGGTTAGTATATTGTCACCACTGATTGATTTAACCGCTAATGTTCACACTTTAATTTCAAAAATTGGCTACACTGGCACGCACCTTAACTTTACAGTATTAAAGCGCGGACTACTTGAACCATAATACTCGCAAAATTCAATCTCCCTTCTACCTGGTGCGCAAAAATCTTGTTATTATTTACTCACTATCTGATTTGTTTGCAGACAATTTCTGCCTAGATCTCACTGTATCTGTACTGCTCTTGCATCAGTGATACTAGGACAGATTCTGGATCTTAAAATAGATGCCGTTTGTATTTAGATGTATGAAAAAAATAGTCGCAATTTTCATTTAAAAATAAGTTTTATTAACCGGCAGCGTAGAAGGGCCACACTTTTATTTTTTTTTTTATTTTTAAAATTCCGTGTTTGAACACGGAATTCCTTGTTCGTGCACGGAATTCCGTATTCAAACACAGAATTCCGTATTCGAACACGGAATTCCTTGTTCAAACACGGAATTTCTTGTTAAAAAACGGAAATCTCAAATTCCGTGTTCAAACACGGAATTTCCGTGTTCAAACAAAGAATTCCGTATTCGAACACGGAATTCTGTATTCGAACACGGAATTCCCTGTTCAAACATGGAATTCCTTGTTCGAACACAGAAATCTAAAATTCCGTGTTCAAACAAAGAATTCCGTGTTCGAACACGGAATTCCTTGTTCGAACACGGAATTTTATTTTCGAACTATAAATTTAAATAAAGTATTTACAGGTTGCTTTTGGGTGACTTGAGGATCTTTGTGAGGGATGGGTAAATACAGATTCTTTGGATATCCTCAGATTTTTACATTTGCCGATTTTTTAAAAAAGAGACGGAAGTAGTATGTTATGTTGATAATGGGGTGTTAATACACTGCGACCTAAAAGATCTATTGTGCCCCCTTCTGTCGCCACTGCACTAAGGAAATGTCTCAATGCCTATAGCGACCCTTCCAATCCTATTTTCTCAAGGAAGTAGTATCAAAAGTCTTGCCCTCTTTGTCCCCTGCATAGTAATATTTTTCCATTAATTTTATTTCCAGGTCAGTCTTATGTCTTAGGCTCTAGTCTCTGATGCCCAAATTTCATTTAAATCGATTTAAAATAACACCCTGTATAGTGTTTTAAATTTACTCTCATTGCCTCTCTAGCCTAGATAAGAGAGGGATAAAGTGAGGTGGTGTTTTCTAAATCCAATTATTAGTTATCTCTCGAAAAAAGTAAAGAAATGGAGGACCGGTTAAAAATGTTGTTGCTTGTATTTCTATTAAATGGTATTATCAAAAAATGGTGGTGCTACTTAAAAAACTAGTGATGGCGTCATATTTCGAAAAATGATGACACCTGATGAAAAATATACTTATACCAAAATATTCGCATCTACGCTTCTACGCTGCCGTACATATACCAATAAATACTGTAGCTCGAATATAAAATTATGTGTTCGACCACGGAATTCCTTGTTAGAACACGGAATTTCCGTGTTCAAACACGGAATTCCTTATTCGAACACGGAAATCTAAAATTCCGTATTCGAACACGGAATTTCCGTGTTCATATACGGAATTCCGTGTTCGTACACGGAATTCCGTGTTTGAATACGGAATTCTTTGTTTTAACACGGAAATTCCTTGTTCGAACACGGAATTTTGGATTTCTGTGTTTGAACACGGAAATTCCGTGTTTGAACAAGGAATTCCGTGTACGAACACGGAATTTTAGAATTAAAAAAAAAATTAAAAAATGTGGCCCTTCTACGCTTCCGTAGGTTCGGCACTTAGTATGAATCGTGCTTTTATGGCTGGACAAAATTTCGATCCATTTTTTATTATTTTACAACTAATCTAAACAACGAATATAAAATAGGTGGTTGAAGAAATAGGATCATTTGCACCATAATTGTAAAATAATAATAATAACTAGTGTTCTCTCAGTGGTCGATATTCGACCAAAATCATTATTGAAAATTTGTGGAAAACAATGCTTTTGTATGTTTCTAACATTTTTTTAATTCTTATACATTTGGTCATTGTATATCTGCTACCATACATTTTTATGCGTCCTTACGATAAAAAATAGTTTAGTACCATTATAATTAAATAAAAAATTAATTCAAATTTAAAAATCCTCATTTATTGATACGATATGAAACACAATTTTATTTTGAAGTTACTCTTGAAACTTCTAAAAAAGAGGGGTTGGGTTTGGGTAACCCCTATCGCTCTACTATATCCGACCTCAGTTTGCACTCTATCATAAACCATATCGAAAATAATCTTAACAGCCCAGAAAAGCTATCCAAAAAAAGGGTGGGGGAAGGAGGTCAACCTACTCTTAGAATTTCTCTAATTTTTTAATTATTTATAAAACCATATCTCAAAATGTTCGAATTATGAAAAAATGTTTCACCCCCACCTACAATTATGGGGAAGGGGGCAAATTCACCACCTACATTTAGAGAGGGTAAAGTGACTTATCCTTTGGGGGTGCAGTTTTATTCTTCTCAAAGTCCAATCCGTCGTACCCGAAGTTCCTAACTTTAGGGGTTCTATATACCGACCTGCCCTGTGGGTGGGGGGTGTAGTAGTAGTTTTATCCCTTATCATTTAGGCGTGGAAAAGGAGCAGGGGGAGGTTAGAGGAGTGAGGTGGAAAGTAATTTTTTTGTTTTTCGCTAACCTCTAACTGTCCATGTATTATATTCAATCTCGGTTCGAAATTAAAGGGTGCTCAAGTTCGCTATAGGCTAATTTTATTAGTCAATCATAATTCATAATTGTGGATCAGTGAATTTCGTAATATATCGAAGATTGAAAAAAAAATTCTATTTTTAATTTTTTTATTGATAACACTAAAGCTCGTCAATAGATACAAAACAAAACTAAAAATAAAAGCAAATCGGTTTAAAAACAGACGAGAGAACATGGGCGAAGTTATGTCATCAGATCTGGGGGGGCTAAAGCCCTAACCCTAGTCATGTAATATATAATAGTTCTAGAGGTATACTGAAGTTAAGTAAAAAAATTCTGGCGAATCTATGAAAATGAATAAAATATCATATATAAGTGAAAAAACTGAATAATTTTCATCACAATAATTTTCATCACAAAAATTTCCCTAATTTTCGCAACAAGAGTAGATATGGACAATCCACTCGAGTTGTGCAGTATATTTTTTCTACGAACTACTAACGAAAATCTACAAATTTAAAAAATTATTTTAGATTTAGACAAAATAAGCCATTTTAAAATAATTTATAAATTTTATTAATTTATAATATAAAAAACATAAAAAAAAATTAGCCCCTATAGTCCAGATTCGAACCCAGGCTATTCGCGTGGAAGGCAAATGCTCTGTCCTCCGCTCCACCGCCACTTTTAGGTTTTTAATTTTAATACTCGTAATTAAATTAGTTTCATACGATTTGATTAAAATTTACTTTTTTAAATGTGGCCCAAATAAAATTAAAATGTTATTTTTTATCGATTCTAAACAAAAATAACTAATTTTAACGTATATGTAATCTTAATGACTAAAAAATATACTGACAGTTTGTCAGAATTTAAAATTTTAAAAATAATAGTAGTTAGATGTCCAAAATATGAACTGGGATTTGTGGATTTCATTATTTTGCAGTTTTCTCGTTATGTTATGTTGGGAATGGGGTGTTAATACACTGCGACCTAAAATATCTATTGTGCCCCCTTGTGTCGCTAATGCAGCAAGGAAATGTCTCAATGCCTATAACGACCCTTTCAATTATATCTTCTCAAGGAAGTGTAGGATTTGGAGTGGCTTCAAGTTTCTATTTGATATGCTCCTAGGTATAGTGCCCTTGGATTCTGGAGTGCTACACATTCAGTTAGAATGTAAATGAAGGTTTCGTCCTTCTCCTCACAGAATCTTCACTCACTATTTTCTACTACTCTAAGTTTACTAAGGTGTCCTTTTAGTTGGCAATGCCCAGTAAGGATCCCTGTTACAAGTGTCCTCAGTACTAGAAAAATGTATATTATGATAACAGCTTAAAATACAATCTGGCTAATGTGGAATACCCCGAAAGCCTTGCCAGACTTGTCTAATGATCGTCAGGCGCGCTAAATTCTGCACGTTCGATTACTATTCCTCTCCTCGTTTAACTACCTGGCTTGTCAGGTCCGACCGAAATACGGTTTTATAACCGAAACCGAAACCCAATTTCGGCTCCTTTCTTAGTTTCGGTCGAAACCGAAACAGAAATAAGAACTTTCTTTTAAGGCAATCTCTTATTGAAATTTGCAATATCTTTGTTTAAGACTAATTAACTCGTATTATAAATTTTAGCTACATTTACTTATTACCTATTTATTTATGTGATCCAAAGAAGCCATTAATAAATTTATTGACAATGTTTTTTTTTATTACTTTTGAAACAAAAAAAAAATAAGTGAATTACAAAGTAGCAATCATTTCTGCATCTGTCTCTAGATTTTTTGTAACAAAAAATAGTATTATGAAGGGAATTATATATAATGTAATTGTTATTTAAAAAAAAACAAATTCAGATAATTAAATATGTTTGTTACTTATAATTAAATTAATATTCATAAGTAAACAGTCTAACGTTGTAGGCTAGAAATAATATTTTTTCCTCGTTTCACCTAAAAAAATGCTCCTTTGATACGAATAAATTAGGCCAGGAGCACTGAAGACTGTTCACTTGAAACAAAGCAGAGAAGTACGTGCACTGTGTAGGAATGGCACCCGGCACAGTCGCCATTGTGCCGGACACAACCAAGTGTGATACGAAAACTTTCGAAAGTAGTTTCGTAGTTGGCTGCAGTTTCGGCCAGTTTTCCGCCGAAACCGAAACTGTAGTCGAAACTCTTATTTTAAGCCGAAGTTGGCCAAAACCGTAACCGAACCTTCGGCCGGACACTACTTGTGAGTCTGACAGGCCTTCGTGATTTTAATTGTCAGCCAGACCTATATTTTCACTTAGAATACCACTAGTGCCTAAATTATTTCCGAAAATTTTTTCGAACTTACGAATATTTTGAAATTTATCCTGAGTCGAAGACGATTGATATTTTTCTTAAAATATGCGTGAGTGAGCAAAAATTTACTGATAATAATTTAGGCACCAGTGGTAGGTATTGGGTAAGAAAATTTTACACCAAAATATCCAAATTTCAAAACTTACAAGACATACATTAAAACGACT